TTCCCCATGGCATGCCATCTGTGGCCCTACACCTTCTGGTTACAGGGACTTTGCATGAACTTGTGGCCAGTTTTCAGAAGCCTGGACTTGTCCTCCCTCTCTGTGCACTGGGCTTGGCACTGGAAACCTGCTGCTGCACAAACATCACATCATTTATAGACCTGACTCTGAGCCACACCTGGGCTCTGCTCAGCATAATGCAGCAACAGAGGGACAGAGGTGACACAGAACTTGTAGCCATTCCAATGTGTTGACAGCACTGTTGGCTAAACTGATTCTGTTGCCTTCCTGCTGTCCCCAGCCATTTGTTCTGACGCACAAACATTTGCTTTGCCCCGTGGTGACCTGGCTAAGGGAGGTGTGAAATGACAGATGAGCAGCTGAAGTAAGAGAAAGTGACTCCCTGCCATTTTTAGTGTCAGCACTTGCTGGTTTAAGTTCAGTAGACCAGCAGCAAAAGAAACCTTTGTGCCATCCATGGCTCAGGGGATGAGCCAAGGCCTGTCATAATTCGTATCACAGACACAGCAATTGCACACTTGACTGAGGTTTGGATGTATTCAGAGGTACCAGAGCTGGGTACAAGTTGTTGGAGAGAGCTGAAAGGGTCTGGCTGAAAAGAGAGCCCAGTATTACATCCAGGGTTAGATGAAGTATAGGAACACACTATCTGTATCTTGTAAGTGGTACATGACATGTGATGTCATGGCATCATGTCACACGACATGCTTCACTCAGCTCTCTGTGCTTGGGCTATCCCCAGCACCCTAGGCTCTCAGGGATTTGAAGAAGATTTTTTTCCTGAGGAAACAAAACCTATTCTCAGATAGGCTTCTTTTTCAAATGTAGAGATTTATAACAGCATGTCTGTGAGTGTCACTTGTCATTTGCTGAAACAGTCAGACTTTATAAATGCTATCTGCTGTTAAAACTTGCTTAGAAAATGTTAAACAGATTTTAAATAAATGAAAATTCATGAGGGGCTGGGGCAGAGGTCAGATCTCCGTTTGAGCATCTCCACACCTCTGCCATATAGACAAGCTGTGGTGCTGTGTAGGAACTGGGGTAATGCTTCCCATGATAGTCTTCATCAGGGCCATTTGGCTTCTTCAGAGTCCTGGAGCTGCAGAAGTGGGGTCCAGCTCTGCCTCCTCCTTGCTGGGCAGACACTTCTCTCCTGGACTGAACAACAAAACCTGCATGGATACGGTCCTGTGCAACTTGCTCTAAGTGAACCTTCTTTAGCAGGATGGTTGGACTAGATGGGCACCAGAGGCCCCTTCCAACCTGGACATTCTGTGACTGATTTTGAAGTGGGCCTCCAGATGAGCTGACTATGTCTGTGACAGATACACTGGGGTATGCCTTGGACACTCATTGCATTGTGCAGCTTGATGGTTAAAAATATAACTATAATATTTGTAATAGCCTAAGGCACTAGGTCACTTTATGGACCAAAACCTTGCAAGATGGTATGTTCTAATTCAAAGAGATTTTTAGACTTTCAGGAGTTATACATAACATTTAGTAAATGTCTCTTAAGGTTATACAAAGAGAGAGAGAGAAAGAAAGAGGCTAAGCCTTTTTCAGTTTTCTCCCAGGAAAAAAACAAAAAAAGTGCTTATTGCTGAGCTACACCATGGCCAGGAGTCTAGAAAGGAGATGCTGGTGTAAAAGCAGCCATTGCAGTAATTAGGCCACAGCCTAGCATCCTCTCCTGGATCCAGCTGGCTCAGGGGAACCAGTGGGTGCTATCAGTCTGAAATAATGCCTGCCAGTGGCATATCCCTCCCTTTCTGCCTCTCTTGGATTTGCTGATGGAGGCTCTTGTATTTCATTCCAAGTGAGCTGGATCAGCAAGACTGACAGTGGAAAAGGTTTAATTGGGTTCACTTGGCTGGAACGGGTCAGAAAACCCTCAGAAGAGCACCTCCCATGGCAGGACTACAGAGGGGAGACTGATCTGCCCTTGGAAGTGCATGGGGATGCACATCTGGCTCAGAGGGGAGGCTGGATGGAGAAGTTTCTTCCATGGATGGGCACAGCCTTTTTTTCTACACCCAGAGTAATCACTACCATTATCAATGATAGCTTTCAAAGAACACTGCAGACAAAACCCTCGGAGTATCACCTCCACCTCTGACTACACCTCTACCTTTATTGAACAAGCTGGGAGAGCACCTTTTGGTGCATGTGTTTACATACAGACACATATGTGCACACATCTGGATGCACTGGCAACAAAACCTTAATAAACAAAGCCCACTATAGGTATGGGCTTATAATTATTTATAGGCTTATAAAGTAATTAATGAGCATTAAGATGTCTAAGTCCATATGTGTCTCTATGTTAATAGTTGGTGGGTTAGAAAGAGGAAAGCCAGGAAGAGATTAAAACCCTTAAAGTTTGGGAAAAACAACATCCTGTAAGCTTGGCCTACAATAGTATTCAGTTTAAAAAAAATACTCAGGGAATTAAGACTGGGTATGTCTAGAAGGAATTAGAATTTTTCCAGTGGTTGTGAGAGACAGCAAACTGAAACAATGCAAAATGACCAGGAAATCTCAGAGGGAGACAAAAACTGTACATAACATTTCCAACACTCTTTCTGCCCATATGCAATACAATACAATTACTCTGACCATTAAAAATACGTTTTGTTGAAACAGCACATATCAGCTGGGACCCCAGAAAATCCAGCCCTCCCTCCATGTTGCCCTTTGCAGCCCTATGCCCACCTTGCCTTCTTCCAGGACAGAAGTCACTTCAAGGGAAACAAGGCCTGCCTGGCCAGAGCTGTTCTGCACCAGCCAGGATATCCCTGCCAGTGGATACCCTCATGGTGTGCTGTTAGCAGAAACGAGTGAGACTTAACTTCTGACGAGCAGAACATTCTAAAGGCAGCAAAAACTGACACTGAGCACAGCTTAGCCAGAGGAGAGAATGTGGGCTGCTGTGTACACAAGCACAGACACCCACCCGTGCGTTTGAACTCATCAGTCCCAGCCAACTCGGCCTCGGTGTGAAGTTTCACAGCATTGCTGATTTTAGAAAAGAGAAGGGCTTCAAGGAGAGCTGCTTTGCAGCGATCCTCTGTGCACAGCACATAAACTTGAACATTAAATATCAGTTTAAATTATTAAGAATTAAATTTAAATTTAAAAATAGACTAATGCAAACAAGCAAACTTCAGTCAACATTGAAGCAGAGATAGTTTTAGGAAGAATATTACTATAACAAATGAAACCCCTTGGAGAGTCTGAGGCAGTGATCTGGTAATTCCAGTTCAGCACCGAGATGCACAAACTACCCAGCAAGCAAAAATTACCATGTCTAGCATATGAAGCTCCATGTTCACATTTTTCTTTTTTTTTTTCCTCCCCTGTCACAACATAAAAAAGCCAACACAGTACAGTAGCTTTTCCCATCAAGCATCTGAGGTGACAAAATTCACTTGGAAAATAAAAATTAACAAAAGCAGTACAAAGAAGAAACTTGGTCAGCTTGTGACCACCAATAAGCCAAGATGGGTAAGAAAAGGAATAAAAAAATAGTTCACATCTGGCACCACAAACCTTGCTTGCTTTCTTTGAAACCAGGGAATGAGAAAAAAGTCCATTTTGCAGAGACCATTTCAACAAAAGTTTCCTTTCCCTGGACCTGGAAAATCCAGGTATTAGGGCACAGAATTTTTGTTTTATATGTATATAAATACACATGTACATATTCATATAAATATAAAAGCAGAGCATCCTCCCATTTCTCCTCATAATTTATTATTATTAAAGCTTGTAACAGAGTTGGCTGAACTCTTCAGAAGTGGGTATTCTCTGCACACACATGGCATGGGGAGTTTAGCTCTGCTAGGGCAGAACACCCAGGCAGGGACATGACATGCTGGGTGATGGAGGCAGATTTGGGTGATCAGCCAGGGAGGGCAGAGCACAGTGACTGGAAATGGCCTCTCTTGCTCCAGCATGGCCCTCTGGGCTGCCAGAACGGCTCTCAATGAGCAGACAGGGTGATGGTGTGGGAGGATGGATGGCTGCATCGACCCACGTGGCCCCTGGGCAGCCCAGCCACCCACTGTCTTCTGCACCAGTCACTGAAGGGGGACTGCCCCTGCTTTGAGAGGGAGTCACAGTCTGCCCCCAGCCACCTGTACACCAGTTTCCTTTGTATTATTTTGCTTACTGTCCTCAAAGCCACTCACATCTTTCCCTGCCTTTGTTCGGTTCCCCAGCCCCTTCACCTGATCCTCCCAGACCTGCTTGCTGGCCAAGACCAGACACCTTTATCCTGCCTGATCCACAGGCTCCTACTCACACTGCTCTCCATGAATGCCTCCCCACAGTCTCATAAGACCCATTCTTTTCCTCAGAAGACCGAGCCTCTCAGAGGTTTTTTCTCTCTGAGACTTTTAAGCAAGTCAGAGCTGGTGGCACACTCTCCTTGAGAGGTGCTAGCTTCATTCCAGAGAAGGCAGGGGCAAAGTGCAAAAGATTCCTCAAGAACAGAAGGTATTTCCACCACCACCAGCTCTCTCTACCTCATGTTGTTAAGCACTTGTTTCAAATAAGGTATTACTCATGTGTCTCTGGAGCTTTCACTCTTCCTGGGGTGAGTGGAGATCAGTAGATGTCTACTCGTGCCAAGTCACTTCATCATGATGCATGCTGGAACAGCATTCAAACCTGACTGCAATTCTTCATAGCAAAAAGTGCTTTTCTTGAGAAACAAAATGAAAACTGTTCCCATGGAACATCTTACAGACTCAAAAATAGTTTTCCTAGGGTGGAAAGGATGGAGCTTGCCTATTTTATTGGGCTTTATCTTTATAAAGAAACAGAGCTACTGGCAAAACTGGCACATCTTTGTGAAGTTGTTGAACTCGAGACCCTGGCTGGAATGTAAAAGAAAAGATGTAGCAAATGAGAACTTTGCCTTACGTGGGCTTCTGCTAGTTCTGGCAATTTCATGTGCAGGTTGTCCAGAAAGGTTCTGCTAGCCAAATAAAGATGAATTTCTCAAATAATAAACTGAGGGATTTCAAGGAGGCCTTTTGGGGGTACTGCTACAATCTGGTAGAGGTAAGTCTTTTCATGCCTCGCCGCTGAGCCAGGTTGGAGGACAACACGGGCTCCAGCCTCGGTGCCTGAGGTGCGCGGTTTAAAGCGAAGTAAGTGGCTGCCATTGCACCCTGCGAAACAGAGAAAGAGAAAACTCTGAGCTGAAATTAATTTCTTTGATGCTTTTCCCTTCCCCTATTCAGTATCCTAAAAAATTGTCACATGTGCACAATTTCCATGAAATGATACCATTTAGGCTGGCAGACAGCTAGAGCTGCCTCGGATTCAAAATGGTGAAGAGCAGTTTGTGCCACCAGGTTATTACAATGCAGCCTAAAGTTAAAAATACTGAGCAGGTGACAGTCAAAAACACAGTTAATGCAGTGCCATATTAAATTTAGCCTCTGTGGCAAATAATCTTCCCAACTCCTCTATCACTTTTCAGACTATTTACACAAATGGCAGCTCATTCTGCAAGCAAGGATGAGGGAAGGGTGCAGGAAGTACCTTAACCAGGTGAACATCCTGTCTGCTGAGTTGGTTTTGAGACAGGTACTCCCTGTTCACTATCCATGGATGTCTCAGGACTTGGACTGCTGTCAGGCGCTGATGAGGGTCTACATGAAGCATCTTAGACACAATGTCCTGGGTAGAAAAGGAAGAGAGCAGTACAAGGGAGAAAGTAATTAATGGCTGTGCAGGTTTTACTAAGATCTTTCTGTTGTCAGTGTCATCATTAGCATGTTCAATGGAGAGAGTGATGCACTTTGGACAGGCATCCTGTTCTTTAAGTGTCAGCTCTTACCTTCAAAATTTTCAACTGTAATGTTCAACTCTCAGCTAATAATCCAGTCAAAACATAATGTGGAGGGCATTAATCTTATTCAATAACTTAATTACTGGTGACCTTGTAGGAATGATAAATACCGAGGGAGAGGATGCCATCTGGAGGCATCTCCTCACTGACCTCAAGGCATGCTTACAAGAGAAACTTAGAAGAGAAACTCAACACTCAGGTAACTCAAGTTCAATTAGGTTAGTTCTACAACATCTCAACATTTTAATTTCAAAACTGGAAAGCTGATTAAAAATCCACTGTGAGTCTAATAGGTGCTGGTAGCAAGATTAATGTTACTAGGATTGCTTGCAGCTTTGTGGTGGAAAGTATCAATGTTCTTCCATTGCAAACTAACAGTTTCTAAAAATGAAATCTCTTGCAAAAATCTTTAAAGCCTATCAAAGCTTCTGGTTAATGCTGGGCAACTGGAAGCTTGCAACTTTCCTGCCCATTTACCTGTCTCACAGACTACTGCACAGCTTCATACCTAAAGATCTCAGCACCAGATGAGTTTTTTTCTCTCAGGGTTTTCCCTGCTTTGTCATAGATGGGCAGCCTAAACTGCGATCTGTACAGGAATTAAAACTGCCTGCTCCTGGTTAACTGAGAAACAAAAAGGTAGCTCATGCATAGACTATACATCTGTGGCATTGACAAACATTCACTTCTTTTAGAAGTGCAGTTGCACCAAAAAAGAAGACTTCTGTAGTATTTAAATCTTGAGAAAATCTGAGAAAGGGTTCACTGACCTTTGCAGTATCAGATACTGAATCCCAGTTTCCTCCTGTAAGAGCATATTTGCCACTACCAATCCTGGCCAGAATCTCCTCTGGGGTGTCATCTGGTCCATTTGCAAAAGGAGTAAATCTATAAAAAAAAAAAAAAAATGAGAGAGAGAGAAAGACTCGATATAATTTGCAAGTACATGATTTCTAGGTTCTAGTATTAATTGCCAATGATTAGAACAGGAGTTTAGGTTCAGAATGTACCACTGATACTGCTGCTTCATTTTCACTCAAACTATACAGCCTGGTGGTTCCTCATATTGATCTGTAGAGGAAACACAGATTCCTTAATTGTTTTTTAAATTTTTGTTCTGTTATAATTTTTAGGAATGAAAAACTCTTCATAAAAATAGTCAGGCATTTACCTCTTGATTTAACTCTGCTTTATTCCCAACACCTTTATTGCCAATACCAGTACCTTGGTAACAGCAAGAAAGGACAAAAATTATAAAGCAGAAGAAATACAATCTGAAACAGAAAAAAAGGAAAAAAGACCTTTGTAATCTATTTTGCAATGCTTTGTTAACCATAATGTGCAAGTCAGTTGGGCCAAAGAAATTACCTGCAATAAGTTATTTCCTCATCCAGCCAGTCAGAAATGACTTTTAACAAGCACCCAGCTTGGGACAAAGTGTCACAGGCAGAGGGTGCACTTTTTGTCTTCAGAAAGTGACAAGAGATAAGGTTTTTGCAGCTGACTAACCAGGCCAAATTTCACTCTGCAATCTTGAACAGCTGTGTAGGTTTAGAAGAAGTAGGTATTTTGGATTTTTATATTTTTCATTCAATCTGTCTTTTCTTCAAACTTGCCAGAGCAGTTTTTAGATTGTTAAACAGTTGGTTTGGCCACAGCTTCCTATCCCATCTGGCTTCTGGTAGCAAATTCAATTCCTCATGCAGTATTTTCTCATTTTCATTTCAGTCTTCATAGCAGTTCAGCCCAAAGAGATATGTGATGTTACTCCAATCTATAGCTATCAGGGGGGATGCAGTAAGAGTTAAGGACTGGCAAAAACTCTGAGGTCTATCAGTAGCTCCATTAACATCATCCCTGGCTGGTGCTCTAGTCCTGACTGTCTGAGTCCTCTCACCTCATAGTGATTATAGGAGGAGAAAGAAGTCCTGGATGAAAATACTTGTCAGTTCCTACTAATCTCCTCTAGTTAGGAAGAACAAGACCATTCATAAATGCAGTTGTGTCATCTAAAAAAGCATTTCTTAACTGATTGTGTTACTATTATTTTCTCTGGTGTGCAGAAAAAGAGAGATACAAATTACTGGCACCTGTCAGTAAACTGAATATCCACTTAGTTGTACTATTTGTATTTTTGACTCAAATATATTTGGATTTTTTTACTTCATATTCAATAAAGAAGTATTTTGAATATAATCCACAAACAAATGTAACTGTGGATAATGTGTTAATTTTATTTTTCTGATTCTATCTGTGTAGCAGCCATGGGCATCAGCCAAATAGAAATAGGTTCTTGGAGATCCAGCAGACTGGGAGACTTCCCCACGAAGTCTTGATATATTTCAGCTGACCTTGAACACATGTGTAGTCAAGAATAAAACAGATGAGATAGAGACCCCTGGCATCTTTTCTACAATCCACAAATAACAGAATAACAGAGAGTCAGAGTCCAAATCTTTGTTTTCTGTATAAAACCTAGGAATTAATCCAATCTTCTTGTCACAGCTGAATGATCATGAAGCAGATTAAACAATTTAGAGAGGTCACTGAAAGCTGCAGATTAAACAATTTAGAGAGGTCACTGAAAGTTGCAAGCTGTGCTTAGGTGTGATAAATGTGCAGATAGCATAGTCTGAGAAATGAAATTCAAAGCCTGGTAACTCTAGACTGGGTTTGCACTTTGTTTCCCAATCATCCCAGCACATCTTATTCCTATCCTTCAATGCTTATTTCAATCTGTGTCTTTCTCTGGATCTTCTTGTGTTAATATTTTGTTTTAGCCAACACATTGGTAGGGGTATTTTTGCCAAGTACCTCTCAAAAGTTTCTGCTGCCTGTTGCTATTCTTGCTGATCTCTTAGTTTACTTTCTGAATCCTATTTTTCAAACAGCATCTGAAAACTATGTTTGGGTGGGGTTTTTTTTTAGCTTTTAAAGGTGCTCAGACACTTCAATAACAATAACAGATGAAGAATAATGAAGCTGAATAATTCATTCTATCTATCAATAGAATGAATTAACATTCTTCCATGGATAAGGTGAACACGATGAGGCTCTTCATACTCCTATGCATCTCTCCTAATAGAAAACTTCCCCACTGCTTAAGTCATGAGTGAACCCTTCAGGAGTCTAGGTCTCAGTGCATACAGGCACTTTCTGTTAAAAACCTAAACAATTTGTCAAGTGTCAAAGATACTTACACATTCTAGAAAAAACTTATTCTAATTTTAAGTATTGACATCTATTTTCTTGCTTTATACAACTGAACACACCTCTCAAGGAGGCCAGAATCCCTATCTGTGACTGCTTTCAGGCTTAGTCAGTGCTGAGCCCAGTGGAGACTGCTGCTCTAGGAGAACCTCATCACTCACCCTGCCAGCATGGTGTACAGCAGGATCCCCAAGCTCCAAATGTCACAGGCTGCATCATAACCTTGGCGTTTAAGGACCTGTGGGGAGGAAAGAGAGAGATGAAAATAGGGAAACTGCATTCCTGAATTTTTAGCTTCTGATCTACAAAATGCACTGATTAGTGGTTGTGTCTGCTGACATTCCCAGGGTGTAGCTGTGTATCTGCCTTGGGATCAAAATGTCCAGTAGTGCTATGGAGCAAGGCAGAGCCCTGGCTGAAATGAGCTGGTTAAACTCAGCACATCTTTCCCCTTCACAGTGTGAGAGATGAGTGCAGTTTGTTGGAGCTGAGGAGGCTGGGAGCTCCTCTGACCATCCAACATGCAGCAAAGCAGAACAATATTTCACTGCTTTAAAATGTTTCCTTTAAAATGTTTCACTAAAAAAAAGCTCATTAATACTTCAAAACATATCCTCCTAACATAAAAGTTACCAACAACCCTGTGGATGCCTCCTAGGGCTAAATGACAATGATAAGTATTCCAACTGAACCCAGTTTGGATTTGATACAGCAAATGGATACACACTGAAGCATATATACTGTCAGACTAATGAAGATGAATGCTAAAAGGCTTCTCTTACTTCTGTATAAAGAAAAGTGGGCACATTTAGACTGGAGTTAGCAGCAGGCAAAAACTTGACCCCCTTTTCCCATGGGGCAAACAACACCCATGGTAGTCAGCAGAGATCTGACCAGTAGGTTCAATACTGATACAGGATGGCAAGGTGTAGCACTAAGGGTACAGTCCAGATTTCATTTGTGCTTGTGCACACTAGAAGAAATGCCTATTGACTCAGTGTAGGTCCAAGTGAAACTGAAGTCACCACCTAAGCTCAAGGACCACCTCCACATCTTCCCATAAAAGCAAACTACCCTCTGTTTATCCAGTTCTGACACACAAAGAGTTTTTTCCTATTTAGATGGACCAGACACATCTTTTTGCAATGCACATGAAAAAGGAATGTAAAAATTCAGCAAGTCTTTCTCTGATCTGCAGCCTTATTACCCAGGAGTGATTTAAGTATCTGAAGTCTATCACAGAAAAGATCAAATTCTGCTAAGGAAAAACAGTTTGAGAAAATGTCGCCTCGACAGCTTTTATAAATGATGAGTGGCAAAGCAACCATCTGCCAGGTATGCTGCTGAGTGAACATTTGCTACCTGGAAAAAAACCCAACAAGCCAAAAAGACTCCCACAGCAACAAAACCAGAGAAAAAAACGCAGTTCCTCCTGCTGACAAAGCTGGTAAAATTGTGCTTCTGCCTCTCTCTTCTGCACATAAGATGCAGTCTTTCTGGCTGATTTATTTATTTCTATTCCTTTAGTTCCTGCATTCATTCCCACTCTATTAATGTTAGTTTTTATGGGAAAAATTTCTGTGCTATTTGACAAACTCAGCTGTTTCTTGCTTCACCCGTGAGACTGAATACCCAACATTTATCTTTTGCTGTGGTTGTTCTCGTTGCATTTTGAACAGTTACAATTTCACTTCTCTGTTTTCCTCCAATAACCAAGGACAATCAAGTCCAAGGTGAGTGACAGAAAAACGGGGCAGTGATGCTACTTAGTGGAGAGGTTTAATGAGCAAGTGGTTACACTACCCCAAAATGATTAGGTCACTTCCAGAACTTAGTGGGATCTGAAATAGAGGCAGAAACTGGTTCTTAGTGCCACACCATAGCAGGACATTGTGGGGATAATGGGTATCCTGGAGATAATGATGCCCTGGATTCATCCAGTTCTGAGAATAGCTCAGGTATTTGTCCAACCTCTTCTATTTCTGTAGTCTTTGACTTACTGGATTAACAGTGTTTCAAATAGAGGTTTTTCTCAGTTGTAACAAGCAGGGATTCAAATGGGTACAAAAGCAAATAAAGAACCTCATCATTTCAAATAATAAAGCAGTAGGTCTTCACAAATTCTGCAGGAAACCTGCAGAATAAAATATTTTTACTTTGTCCAGAAGCACCCTACTGCATCAGCAGTGCAACAGCCTGGCTCTTTCCTCCTCGCATGCAACACGACTTGCACTAGGTGGCAGCGTGCCTCTTTCAGACAGCCTTCATCTTTGCTCTTGCTATCACCTAAACCCCAAATTAACTGTTTCCAAAATAAAGGAGATCCAAGTGGGCAAACATGTCCTCCTCCTTCGGTCACCGCCCTCTTTGTTACCAGCTCAGCTGATTTTCTGCCTCCTTAATTGGTTTCATGAGCACGTGGCAGACGCTGCAGTTGGACTCGGGGAACCTGAAAGTCAAATCTAGGCTGGAGGGCAGCATTATATCACAGGTAAAACATAAAAGCACTTAAGGCTTTATGTAAGCTCTCTGCCAGTTCTGATAATGTTTCAATTAATCTCCTATGTTTCCTGCATTAGCAGGACCTGTCTTACTCATCACAAAGGTCTGGGAGTGTGATTTCTGCTTTCAGTTCTAATCAGAAGAGTCTGATAATGAAAAGAGAAGAGCCCATCATGAAAAATAGCTACACCTATTTTAAGCATCTTGTACCTTGGAGGAAATCTGAGTGCTTCAAATTTTGCAACCATGATTTTTTTTGTGTGGTTTAGAAATTGAATGGCTGTGGTGCCACACAACTTTTTCAATCTACTTTGATAATTTTAAACAGCTCATTCCCATTTCTAAAATGGAAGCCTAACCAAACCTCAATAAAAACCCCAAAGCAATCTATCTTGGCAAGGGAAGAGTTTTTTTTTTTTTGATTAAGAAAATCTGTTTTGAATTTATACTGCCCTGGCAATGGTCTCTATATAACAAATTCTGATGCTGGAAGGCTATGATTCCTGTAACTTTTGGTATCATCAAAGGATCCTGTACAGAAAGATCATGCTATTTTTTTTTCCCAGTCACAAATGAACAGTGCATGGGAGAAGGAGAAAACTTAGGGAGAAAAAAGACTGCTAGATGATAACAACTGAGAGACACTGGTATTTGACAGTAGAGAAGAGATGAAGTATTGAAAGACAGTAGTTTTTTGTTTTTCTTATAAGGACCAAAACAAGCAAAGGAAGACACACATTTGAAGCAATGTATTGCAAATACTAAAATTTTTGATTTTCATCCCTCCAAGAAATGGGTAATTACCCAAGAAATTAACTTCTTGTTCCTTCATTGTGAGGAAGCAGATATAAACATCTCATGGGTCAAATACAGCAAAGAGCCCAAGCCATGAAACACTGTCTGACCCACACCCACTCCTGCAGGGCTGCATGAAAGGAACAGCACTTGCCAGTGATGCAGAGCCACCTCTCCCTGTGCTTGGGACAAACTGTTTGGTCTTCCTTCACATTCCTGTCTGTAAAAATGAGAAAGCATTTCCTACATCCCCCAGAACAGGGGTGAATTTGTATTAGGAAAGCCCAAGAGGAGAGATGTTTCTTTAGCTCAGTGAAGTCAACAATAAAACTCTCACTGATTTCAGCATAGTAAGGATTTTGTGCAAGGATTTTTTTTTTTCAGTTTTATCACAGACTCCTGGAATAGTTAAGGTTGGAAGGGTCATATAGTTTAACCTCCCTGCTCAAGCAGGTTCCTCTAGAACACTCAGGATTATGTCCAAATGGCTTTTGGATATCTACAGAGAAGGAGACTCCACAATGTCTCTGGGTCACCTGACATCAAGATTTCCCTCTTGAGCCTTAATCCTGTTCTGATGCAGTGCACTAAAGGGAAAGCAGTCTGATCAGAAGCAGCTAGAGAAAAAAAGATATTTATCCCAGTAATGAGTCAAAGCATTGCGTGCACCAGTCCAAGACAGACACCAGCTTCTGTCAGGAGAAAAACAAGTGCTGTGACAGGAGCAGGAATAGGAAAGTTATGGTAATAGAGGCTGTGCAAGCGCCAGTCGCCTGGTTTCTGCCTTGCTCCTCTCACAAAGGCAGCAAGGGAGGAAGGACTGCTTCCTAGGACACACGGACTACTGCAGGCTTTGAAATGTGATCCTACCTCAGGAGCAACAAAGTTGGCTGTGTAGCAGGGAGTCATGAGCAGCCCATTCTCTGCTCTCAGCTGCTTGGCAAACCCAAAGTCACAGATCCTGATAGAGTCTGGGTTTCCTGACTCATCCATGTAGAGGATATTACTTGGCTTGAGATCTCGGTGCACAACCTTAAGAAAGAACAGTGAGAAACAAGTGAGAAGAGGAGGTCAGGGAGCACTAAGGCTTGGCTGCCATTTCTGGTCTGCTGGTTGGGGTAGGTCAAGAGCTCATGCCGAAAATATTTCAGTTTTGGAAAAAAAAGTTATTTAAAAGCCTTGGAGAAATGAAGGGGAAAAAATGAAAGTCTGTTAAAATGAGAAACAAAATGTTTGACAGCCTCTGCGGGTGTATTGAGATGGAGCTGCTGCTCTAAGAGGAGGCAACTTCCTGAGGATGGCCAAAGTGGGCTGTTGTACAAACATCTTGGTGGCAGAAGCTCCTGAAGCTTGATGGCCCTGAATACCCGGCTGAAAGGTGAAGAATAAATCACATCATGGGAGGAAAGTGTGTAAGGGTCTTCTTGTGGTTTTCCATGTGAGTAGCTCATCTCTGAAAGGAGGGATTACATTCTTTCTTAATTTCAAAATGTATTCACACAATTTCATGTGACTGTGTGTTGTACCAGACATGCTGAATTTCAGTAGCAGGAAAACAGCCTTTATTTGTTATAGCAAGACTGAAAAATTACCATGAAAGCATAGAAGCCAAAGGACAAAATGCACTTTGTTTTAACATGAAACAGGAAAAGCAATAAATATTTGACTAGTTACCCAAACTGCTTGTCCCTGAAATGCAGAAAAGGGGAGATTTTTCAAACTTGTATATAGAGCTTAGACTCTAAAAGTCAGATTTTAACAGCATGTCAGAAGTCTTTCCCATCAGGTGCTCAAACTGTCACTTCATTTGGAGAGCTGAGCATTTGATTTTCTACCTGTCTGCTGATTCAGCTACCCTATCTGAAGTGTTGCTAAAAGTTCAGATCCTGCAATAATGATTGTGATAAAAAGCCAGCAACTAATATCTCAAGAAAGTACATGAACTTGAAAATCACTGCAGTGTGGGAAAGAAAATACTCCTTTGACATGCTTCAGTTCAGTGAAAAATGGAAAAAAAGCCAATGACCCTATTTCACAAACCAAATGTAACTATAACTACTGAGGTAGGATTTTTTTTTGGGGGGGGGGAACATATTTACATTTCAGAGAAGCAAAATCACAACTATTTGCGATTTCAAGAAGTTGAATGTTTAGAATGATTGGTGCAGCTAAGCCAAAAAAGCAAGGCTTACCCCCTGAGAGTGTAGGTAGTCCACAGTCCTGGTGATGGTGCACAGCACAGCGCTGGCCTCCCGCTCTGAGAAACACTTCTGCCGGAGGATGCGGTCCAGCAGCTCGCCGCCCCGCATCAGCTCCATCACCAGGTACACGAACTTCCCATCATCATAGACCTGCAACAGGAACACAACAAATGCATGTCTTGGACCCATCAACTTGGTACAGGTTGGTCCTCTAACCACAGTGTTGGCTTGCTTGTGTGGGAAGATGCAAGAAGAAAATATCAGCAAATGCGTGGGAAATGGGCTCCTTACGCTCAACAACTAAAAAGAAAACTTTATAAAATGACTTAAATCATCACTTTTTTCTCATGTCTGTAGCAGCTTGCTGATTTGTCCTCACAGAAATGTAGCTTTCCTGGTTTTCTATCATGTCAACAGAGCAGGCTCATCTGTTAAAAACAGCACCACTCCACACAGCTTCAAATGTCTGCTGGCTGTCACCCAAGCATTCTTCTCAGTAGTGTTCTCTCTTTCCACTTCCACAGGGTAACATTTGCCATTTCAAATATCAATATTTCCCTTTGACTCATGATCAGCTAAAGAGCTGTATTATACTGTTAGCCAACATTTGCATCTAATGATATTATTTAGCTTATATTTGCAATTCTGGTGAATATATTGTTGGCATCAGCTGCAAGACATATTTACATTCAATGTCAATGGCAGTTGGTAGAAGAAATTTTATAATTTAAATTGGAGGATAACCATTTTCATGTCAACATCCTTTATCTGGACTGCAACAATAGGCAGTGTTATAGTCATCAATTCTAAATGTTTTTGGAAAGGAATATAAAAACTTATTTTATTAAGATTTTTTAGATACACTTTAACACTTAGGAATTAGGTGAGACTTTCACTGAGGGCATGTGATTAGAAGATTCTTATATACTTTCCTAAGGTCTAAACCACAATGTACTGGCCGCTGACACAAGCAGGATACGTTCTGTAACTTTGAATCTGACATGGTGTGGACAATCTTAGGTGAGTCTTCAGGCAGCTAAAGTAAAACACCTCTGACCAAAGGCCATTACTTCATTTAAGCATAGTGAAGGATTATTTTTTTCATATGAAATGCTGAAGAAAAGTACCTTAATGGCTGCTGGAGTAGAAGGCAAATAGTCCCTAGCATTAAAACACTACTGGGGGAATCCTAGTGACTCTGTGAGCTCTCCCCTTCCCAGCAAAGCAGACAGCACAGGCTGCACAGGAGTGGCTGCTGCTTGAAAAAGATCATCCCCCTGCCCAGCCACACCGCTGTGTGTATTCAGCAGTGCCCCAAAACAGCCAGCTACGGAGATCCCCTTTTACACAGTGCTGCAAACCCAAACCCATTCTTTCCTTCTCCAGCACTGTGCCCCTTTGGTTTTATTTAAGGTTTGTTAGACAGTAACTGGAGAATATATAACCTGACCAGTCTTTCCAAATGCTGTCCAGTAATTGGTTAAGTCATGTTTTTCTCCTTGATTTCAATGGGTCTGGTTTTAGCTCAGACCTTCAACTGAAGAATTTTCCAGACATGGACTGATAAGTGAGCGTGATTAGAACATGAAAATCATTTAATGCTGAAGTGCTCAAAGACTACTCACATCTTTAAGAGTAATGATGTTTGGATGCTGTCCATATCGCAAGAGTATCTCAATTTCTTCAGAAGGGTCTCTCTTGCTCTTATCAATTATCTGGAATAAATGAAGGATAGTGTAGTCAAATACCAGTTAGCAGCACTAAGCACAAAACAACCAATTCCTACAGTTTAAAGAAATTAATATTCAAAATTCTTCTATTAATCATTATTCTACAAGAGGAGAGCTCAAACCATGTGCAAATGAGAGCCATACTGACTGCCTGCCAAAGGCAGATGGAGCAATAATTAGTTTAGATTCTGGAGGCGTAGGCCCTCTTTTTAATGCTTACAGTTCTGTTTACCCATAAATAATGGCAGTTACAAGAAGTGCCATTTAGAAATCGAACAACATTGAGAGTTTTAAAATAATCATAGTTTTAAAATTACCTCTTTGACATAAAAAAAAATGATAGAATTGTAATATTGGCATATGCTTGTATATATGCTGGTAAATTAATAGAAACTAATTGTCATATGTATTTGTCAGAAATGAAAATGTATGGACATTTACTGTCAGGGGAGATTTGAATTGAAACTATTGGTAATCATTTGGCCCTTCGGGCCAAGCTGTTGTAGTGAACAACAGAGTGATCAGACACTGTATTTGGCCATGTAACCAAACTCTCTACCCATTCCTAAACTGGAAAAAAAATCTGCTTCATAGATCACTTCTATGTAGTCAGTGTCTTTTGCCTTATTAAAAAATATAGTAAGACATGCAAAATTTTTAGTTTTGTATGTAGCAAACCTGTAGCAACAGGTCTTAGAAAAACATGACACCTGCTGCTTGGAGAGCATCACTGCATGAAAAGCCAGCGATCAGGAGAGCACTGACTTCTCCTCAGTGGTTCTGGTAACTATATTTGCCATGTCAGGTAAAGAGCTTTAGTCATTTGTCCAGTTGAGAGCACTGATTAATGTTTCTCATTTTGCAGATTTAAATCATAAATAAGGATTAAAAAATAATATTAAGAGAAATCTCTGCATTTTGGAATCTCCAAAGTAACAGCACAGGAAATGGCGAAAGACTCGTTCAACTAGAAACTCATCAGGAGTACACTATTTTGTCTCTATTTCTTATTGCTAGAAAACAACAGCAGTACTTTTGAATAACAGGTTAACCAAAGTGGAATGGGTGGCATTTTCAGAAAATCATTTCCACTACTGCCTTGGATTTCAAGGCTTTCAAACTTAAATGTGGTTAGCTCTCTCTAAGAGCTAGGCAAAGAGCACAAATTTTAAATTATGATGTTAGCAGGGAAAAAATAGCTTTTTGAAAACCTCTTTTGCTAACGAGGATAAATGCCTGCCTGCTTTTTAATAAAATATATGCATTTTTCATGGTTTATTTATGGTGATACAAATTCAAGTACATGAGTAGAATCATATGCATTAGCCATAATAATGCATAACTGAATATAAATCAGAGGTTTCATAGTCATCATGACTGGTATGTATGTGTAATGATAATGATGGTCAGAAATTGTCCATGGCTCAGGTATGCCTCTGAGGCCATATCAGTGATTTGATTCTGAATTAACAGAAGTGTGACAAATGAAAGTGCAACAGGCAGCTGATGCAGGTAAATGGTTGTTGCCCACCTTTGAATAAATAAAGCAAAACCTCAAGAATAGGTGAATGAAATAAAGATTTCTGCTGTTGTTCTCCCAGTTTTGCTGAGACATTATCAAGAAGCCAACGTAGCCCTGATGGACCCACTCCACTTGAGCACAACCACAGTGACTAAATGTGTCCCACTCAAACAGTAAGCCTAACATACAAGAAGATCCTCAGGGCCACTTCCTTGGCTACACTGATAAACCTCTTGTCAAGTTACTGCAGAAGCTCACATGTGCCCCTGTTAGCATATGCCTGCCTGGTACAAGCCAGCAGAACCTACTGTGGCAAGTATTACCACCAGTGTGAAGGACCACTATCCCTGTGCTGCTGTAGCAAGCCACATATTCCAGATTCCTTTTCTGCTGCAGTTCCCTGTGAAAGTAAATATTCAGAGCTGTGGAAAATTTTAAGTGACTATTAATAATGCAGGACTATAAATGCATATATATGGCCTAAAAAAATCCAAACCAAAAATAGTCTCAGCTATTGACAAAACTAAAACCAACATAACCCGAAGCACTCTGCTACTGATGTAGTAGCAACAGCAGCAGATGACATTTAATGCTTCTAATTCACAAGATGCAATGTAAATACAAATTGCAAGACAGTCCCACTAAATATGCATGTTTTTTGTTTTAACGTGTGTGCTACCTGCAGTACACTGATTACATGGACAAACTGCCCCAAACTGCACCACAAATCATTGTCAGAGTTGTGAAGGAACCTGCAAAATTCCTCTCAGTCCCTGGGCAGTCTAATTGGACAGACCAGAACCATTTTTCTCCTCAACAGCAGAAGATTGTCACCCTGCCAGTGCCTCTCTTCAGTGTGCCTGTGACTTACACTTGGCCCTTGACTGCTAAAGAGGCAGAGGGGTGACTGCTGCAACTTCACCAGAAATCCCTCTGCAGCTCAGACTGGCTGCAGTATGCACAGTTTCTTTATTTGTATGCTGCAATGGCCACAGCAATCCATTAAATAAATATGCCCCACAGCTCCACTCCTGTGATATTCCTGATCTTCCTTTTCACAAAGTCATAGAATCATTTAGGTTGGAAAAGATCTCTTGAGATCAGCAAGTCCAACAATTAACCCAGCATTGCCAAGTCCATCACAAAACCAAAGTGCCTTATTTACATGTTTCTTAAATGCCTCCGAGGATGGTGATTTCACCATTTCCTTGGGCAGTCTGTGCAGTGATTTACAACACTTCCACTGAGTTTATTGGTGTGCTGTTAAATCCACTCAGAACTTCCTATGGTAAAAAGAGCATTTGCCACCCTGGTCCCTGTCTCCTCTGAGACACTGTATTTTGCATGAATACAGACTCTTCTCTGTTCCTCTCTGGTGGAGCCCATGAACCTCCTGCAGCTCTTCCTGTGCAAGCAATGATGTATTTTCTTTAGGAGACTGATTTTGATTTGAATTCAACTAAAATGTACTTATAAACACTCTCTATTACAGAATTAAGGGAAGATCTCAGCTACTAGTCCTGAGAATTTGAGTAATATGTCATGATGCTACTTTTCCATTTCTCTCTTTAGATGTGTGGTGAAGAAGACCAACTCAAAAATTCACCATAAGGTATAAGTAACTTAACTGAAAATGTAACATGAGCTCTACTGTACCTTGGCTCAGAAGAGCTGTGATGCACAAGGGTCATCCATTGCCCTTCAGAAGAAAAAGAAACTGAGCCATAAAGCAAACAGACTTTTTTCTGTGCATTGGACACCCAGGGATTGCTCAGAAACTTGTCTGTGTCAAATAGTGTATGAAAGAATTTTAGAGTAAAATGGGCTCAGCATAGTCAATAGTGTCCTTTGTTCTGACCAGGGATCTGTTTGTTCTTTTTCACATCATTTGTGTGACTAACTGAAAGGAAAAGGTGCATTTTCTTTCCTCAGTGGGATTTAGGGTAATAACATGATATTTTAAAATGAGTCAAGCTTCTTTAAAGGACAATACTGAACACTTTCTCTATCAAGGAAGAAAGGAGCAGGACAGAATATTTTCAAAATACCAATTAATGCATCTGTCCAGTTTTTACAAGTCATTCTACAAGTCTTCTGCATGGAAAAAATCATCTAATTCTCCTTTACTAATAGGTTTTCAATAGATTTAAGCTTGTCAGAGCAGACTAATGAGTATAAAAGAGAGTATCAATAAAATTCTGTGTGGGTAAAGCCTTGCTGAAATTGGGATAGCAACTAAATAGACAGTATATATATTTGCTTGCTGCCTTTTTGTGAAGGTATTTGCATGCTTCCAACTGTGTAGATAAATCTCTGCTTCTGGACCTAGTTATGCCATCAGCAGATGTTGGAGTCTTCAGCTGTTTGATACCACCCACCAGCTGGGACTTACAGCCCTTACAGCCCTGCCAAAGACACAGTACGTGTGAGCACTCCCTAATCCACTTTCAGTGAACCAGCCCTGCTAACACAAATTGCCTTTTCCAGCACTGAAATTAACCTGAATGACTGTGCATGAGAAGAATGGAGAATGGCTGTGTTTCTCACATGGAGTTATCCATCACTACAGTTGTGAGATTGGAAAAAGATAAGAGGTGAGAGGAGACAGTTTAACTGCCTTTGCTGTCTGGAAAATGAACAGCCTTAAAGAAAAGGTGAGAGAGAAGCAGGAGAGTGAGAAAAAGGAGAGAAAAGAAACATGAGATACACTGATGGGAAGAGCAGTGATGTGAGCCTGAGGAGAAAGGATGGGGCTCTGGCCAGGCTGTGCTCGAGCTAGCAGCAAGGAAACTGCTCTGTTGGGTCTGTCTGTGCTAGGGAGAAAGGACCTTGTGCATCTTTAGTGACCAAACAATTAAATGATCTTTTAATCTGCCTTGTCTTCAAGTGCCCCAGGTGACCTTTCCTGGCAGCTGAAACAGAGATACCAGAGTATGAGCTGGGGCAGCTGAGCTGCTGGAACAGCCCCAATCTGCTGCTCCAGCTGCAGCAACACGAAGTCCAGCAGAAGGCAGGGCAGACACCTGGGCATTCTCCTACCTTGTACAGCCACACCTGAGGCTGCCAGTGCATTTAGGCACTGGGATGATGTAAAGCTCCTTTTAACCAGCACTAGGGAACTTTGAATGGCTTTGTGAAAAAGCCATGCAGGAGGAGGAGAATTTCATATGCTTTTTAAAGCTGCTTTTTTTTTTGTTATACACAGTTTTTTTCTGTAGTCTGTTTGGAGAGTAAGCATGGGTTAATAATCTCCTTTAAGAACAGATTCATTACATAGTGTGATGTGATAGTCTTTGTAAAAATCCCCTCCTTTTCTGGGAAGGGAAGGATGAGCAAAAGGAGAATTAATTTTGTGTCCCTTTGCACATTATAACTACATTGTGATGTATTTGAAAATCCAGGGCACCACTAATGGAACTGACTATAGGTGGGATTTGCTTCTCTTCTGAAAAAAGGAAGTGTG